GAACCTCTGCATTTTGAGATTAAATCTTCAATGTCGCCTTACAGCCGAGTCGACCTGGCAGCATATCTTCCATGCTGAAGTCAAAACAACACCATAGACCGAATCAGCTCCTGCAGTGGTGTCTCCAGATGACCTTTGACCTTGGTGGAGCGGGTTTGGCCCGGTGCCAGACAAGCCACTCAGTGCTGTGCATATGGGTTGAGGAATGCGCTGGGCTGCAGCAAGCTCATTAGACAGTGCAGTGAGTGAAGGGCTGTTGTTTGTGCTATAGACTTCTCAGGCCGAGCGCAAGTTTTTTCAAAATGTGGCGATAGATTCACAATCCCAGACCACTGGATGGCTGCAGGACTAATGTCACCAGAATAGTGTGTCTGAACCATTAGGTGTTTGTTGACACTGTTAAAACTGGTTATCTACATGCCAAGCTGCTGCAGCTACACTTCTCGCTTTTGACTTGAGCAGCAAAACAATACATTTCATGCTTTCTCCCCTCCCAAAGTCTGACCAGGTCTGTGAGAAAGACCCGGTCTGTACCCAGTAACCTTGGAGCTAAGTCAGCAGTTTAAAAAGCTTGCTCCAGTCTCAGCAGCATGCAGCCTTCTGAGCTAAAGTTCCTTTTTATTTTCTCCTCTGTCTCTGCCGATGGAAGAGGGAAGAGGAGGGGGAGGGAAGGCCAGAGATCAGACACAAATCATCCCGTGGTACTCCGCACGTGAGAACAGTCAGGTGGTCATTTTCCTGCAGACATGACTCCCGAGAAAATCAGATTGCAGATTTACTATCACATCCTTAAATGCAGAGAAATTAAAGTCCAATTATGCAGTTTTAGCAATTTTCACTTTCAGAAGAGTTTTTTTAGAGGTCAAATGCTGATGTTAGACCATAATACTGTATGTCTTTAGTGAATATTGCATGCAGTGTACATCTTAACTTTTGCACTTGCTGACTCACAAACCAGAAATCTGCCTCAACAGTCTCACACTGTTCATGACTTGAATATCAAAGATGCTCCTATTTTCAACTAAGAGAAATTGTAAAATGTCATGTGATACAGAGCCATGTGAACTGTATGCCCTCCATCAACGTTCACATACGTCTGGCGCAACACTTTGCATGGCTGTTTGAGGCATTTTGATAAACATTGCATGACCAGGGCTTGGCTAAGGAATAACAAACGTGAGTCAGGGAGGGTCCTAACTCCAAATCAGCTGTGCACTCTTGAAGAAAAACAGTGAGTGTGTCTCGCGGCAGGGGAACACGTGCTGCTGGGGTAGGGGTGAGGGGGGGGGCTGCTGTCAGGGACACACTGTCAGGTTTAACCAGGTTGTGTTTTATCGATATGTGTCAGAGACATGAAGCTTTTCTTAAGCAAGTCACAGTAAGGACGGACAGTGCAGGGTGCAGTGCCAGAGAGGCTCTGCACAGATAATATTAAAGGAGTTACATTATGCTTTTCAGGTTATCCTCATCTAGTGTATTGTTTTTTTTTTGTTTTTTTATGTGCATAAGGTCTGCAAACTGAAAAAAAGACCAAAGTCCACGGTAAAGAGAAAATACTCTTGAAGCTCCAGTAAAACCTTGTCAGTAGTCCAACCAATACTTTTGCACAATGCAAGCCAAGTGGCTATTCAGGCATGCCCACTAACAAAGCCAGGTAAAACAAGACTATTTAATCCACAAGCTAGAGGCAGTTGACCAATCACAACCATGGTACTCTTTTAAAGGAGTCATTTTTGGGATAGCATAAAAAGGTGGCACAGGGAAACAGCTAACCTGGCTATGGCCGAAGGTTAAAACAACTTTCTTTATCGGCTAAAAGCAACATCTTTATTCATTACAGAATATTTATTTGTTTTCATAATATATTATTTTGAATATATTAACATTGTTCCAAAAAAGCTCTAGTTGTACACATCTGCTGAAATAGCTGGTATGGTTTTCTTTCAGGTCAGCAAATTCGATTGTTGAGTGGCAAGTTGTCTGCTTTTGATTTAGGGTGTGAAAAAAGGCAGTATATCTGAAAGCTTGTCGGGTAAACAGTGGAGACATTCATTTTTATTTTTATATGGTTAAAAAAGGAGTGAAGGTGCATCTGTGCACATTTCTGCCCTCTGCATGCCAGGTAAAATATTCGGTGAGCATACAGGTGGAGCCTGTGATGAGGCCTGTGAAGTTTTGTTGGGGGAAAAGGTGGGTCGCTAGGCAGAATATTTGGGGAACGCCTTGTTTTTGTTTTTCATTACAAGAGAGGGAGAGGGGGGAGAACGGGGGGGAGGGTACAAGATGGTTGCCCATTGGCTCGAGTTACCCCTTGGATCATGTGTGAGTGCTGCCTGGTGCAGCTGAGCACACTGCACTCAAAGAGCCCTTTTTTCAACCCAAGAGAAAGTCATCCACTTGCTCAGACCCCACTCCTTTCCAAAAAAACACCCCTCTCCCCCCTGTGCTGCAGACCCCCAGCTCCTTCCTGCCTGCTTCCCCCTGGCTGGACTCCAAGTGCTTCATGTGGCTCGGCTGGGGCAGGTTGGAGGTGGGCCCCCACCCCTGTCCCCAAAAGACACTTGTTTTCCAGTGGGATGAGGGTGTGTTGATGTTGGCAGGGTGGAGTAGAGGGGTGGAGGGGGTTTAGCGGATGAGGGGAGGGCTTGAGGCTGGAGGCTGCCCCCTGGGAGAGGAGGAAATAAAAGAGTGCACTTTCACACGCCCTTTTTTGGGAATGCCTGTATGCACCTGTAGAGAGGTAGACATGGTTTTGAGGATATTTTTGTTTTCAATCAAAATCAAATTAGCTGAAATATCTGGTGTGGTTTTTTTTTGCTAAAATCAAATTAAAGATGCATTTTTCATTTAAAGACCTTGGATTATTATGTTTAGTCCCACAGGCCATCCTCAGTTGAACTCTGACTGAAACAGGCAGTGCTAGTCAGAGTTTCTTGTGAAAAACACAGGTGACGCCCTTCCTTAAAAAAGAAAATGAAACAGGGAAAATACTGTGCATGTGAAAAGATCACGTCCTTGTGCTCTAGCTGTGGTCTCCTGTTTGCTCTACTCCGCAGCCAGTCTCCAGAGAGCTTCGTTTCTCTTATTAGGTTGATTGTGGTTGCAGCGATGGCCAACGGAGACCTTGCATTGTTGGAGTTTGTTTACCGTTCAGTCGGAGTTAGCCAAAGGAACCGGAGAAAAGGGGAAGGCTAGCTCAGAACAAAGGAACGGTTCATGGACTAGCTTGACTAATGGAGGATTGAAGGCCTTTATGAACAAAGTTGAATTGCCCAAGGACAGAGAGGGGAGGTAATCTGCTGATAAAAAAATGTTGTGAATAAAAGCAGTCCTTTACAATATCCATACAAAGTCACTGCATGACCATGCAGAGATTAGCTTTGTTGAGCTGCCACTATCACTGCATTAAACATCTAAATGCTGCATCCAGTGAGTGTTTACTTGGCAGTTCAGGGTCGCTGGCCTGCAGGGCTTTGGCAAGGAAGCAGTGTTTTCTGAGGTCATGATTTGTCATCAGTTCAGCCGTTCAGGACAGATGAGGAAATTCTCATGGCTGTCATTTTGGTCGTTGATGGTTTTTGCACCTGGTGACTGTGGTATACAAAGATGGATGACGCATCTCCACTTCCTCCCATTACCCAGAAATCAAACTAAAATATCTGAACGCTGCCAATACACACGCTCAACCAATCATGAGTTAGTGTCAGCTGTCAATCATCACATTTATGTGTACTTTTATTTTGCAGTTTGGTCCATGGCCCATCCACTAACATGGTGGAGGTAGGGTTCATAACACATACTATGACCAGCCACCAGGTGGCGAGCAAGAAGTATTTAGCTTCTCTTTTGGGAAGCAGTCATGTCGTCTAGTCTGTGCTCGAGGTTAAAGACTCACTCACAGTTTTTGGGTCAAGGAGGTGGACAATATTAATGCAAGTATTTTGAGGTTGGACTGAGGTACTCTGCATACTAATTAGTAATTATGAGTATTTGTTTGAATATTGCAAGAATGTGAATTTATCAAATGGTGTCACACAAACAGGCAAAACCAAAAAGGGTTACATAAATATAATGCCACATGTGGTTCTTCAAATGTGTGTCACATGTGGGTGTATTTTGTTACTGCATGAGTGAATAATGTGTCCTTTCTCACGCTGTCTTATTGTTGATGTTTTTAAAAAAAAAATCTATATCTGGTTAGCTAGCATTGGTTGTTGCAGTGAGCCTCAGTTAATTACATGTTATTTAGACTATTTATTTGTTGGAAACTGTGAGGATAAAGTCAGGTTGGTAACAGATTCATAATGTTAAATAAAGAACAGAATAGTGATTGTGGATGAGTGTTCGCACTGCAGAATGATAAGGATTTGAAAGTAGTTTTCTAGAACCTCTGGATGTTCTGAATATGTGTAACCACAGAATGTGCACCCCCTCAACCCTTTGAACAAGCAGGCTCTCACAGTCAAGTCACAACTGAAGCCAAATATGCAGGGCTTCACTCTCTGATCTAATGTTAGGTCACCATTTTAACTGCTCAGTATGTTTTTCGGACCTAGAAGTCAGAGGTTACATCCACATTAGAGTGTGGATACCTGACCTGTGACTATTGGGATCCGTCGCAATCCATCGAGTTGTTTAAAACTCTGGGGATGCATTAAATTGGAGACACTTGGAACCTATGACACAGTCACCTGCATTCGTCCTCTCAATCACAACCAGACAAACAGCAGCAGACAAAATGTTGCCAACACTTATTGTCAGTATAAGACACATGCATTTTCAGATGTGCCAGTACTACTGAATAACAGAGATCATTTTGAAATGAGTACACCATTTTAAAAAGATAACATATTAGTATGGACGTAGCCAGAGTATACGAGGAGCAGTATTTGTTTGTGCACTTCAGGGATGTGTGGATATGCTCTTGTCAGTGTGTTTCTCTCCAACCTTTTCTGCTGGTTGATTTTGTGCTGACTCACCTCATGCTTGTGTGTTTGCAGACGTGCCAAACTACGGCTGTACTTGGAGCAGTTGAAGAAGCTGGTGCCTTTGGGTCCAGACAGCACGAGACACACCACACTGAGCTTGCTGAAAAGGGCCAAGATGCACATTAAGGTACTAAAATAACAGCTCTGTGGAAAAAACAACACTTAAGATGACAGCCGTGTTTGATAAGGTATGGACAAGAACTATAAATATGATAAGTCCATTAATCGTTCGTGATTGACCAATCAAAACCTTTTCTGGCCAAAAAACAGCAATTTGAAGACATCACTGTGAGCTCTGTCAGTTAAATGTGATAATTCTGATCATTTAAGATCAAATAATCAATTTCTCCCGAATAATAATTGAAAGACATCTCAAACGTTTTGTGAAGAGAAATGTTTGCTGTTCTAGTGTAGACTTAAAATAGATTCAGTTCTCCTTGAGTTCCTCGTGCACCCAACTCACACTCTCTGGTTTTCTCCTTTGCCTTCTTAAAGTGGTGTATTGTTCTCTAATCTTTCAATCAGGTGTTCAAGGAATGCCAGAAAAAATAGCTCCCAAGCCTGAAAGGAAAAAACAAACAAACAAGTTAATAAAGTAGAATAACACAGAATATTTGGTGGCTGATCTTTTGATACGTCAGAAATAATTGGATGTTTGGTGTGTTTAAGGCTGACTCCTCTTCCAAGGTTCAGCTCACAAACACAAGTGGTATTAAAAATACTTGTCATGTAGCAGATGAGAAGTAAATGTAAAAACAGTTTAGGACACGCTACACTGATCTTACTGTTTACCAGCAGCAACAGTGTGGTTGGTGGAAAATCTAGACGTCGCAAGGTTTAACCCTTCATTTCCTGTTTTTATGCACATCCTCTCTGCACTAATTCTCGTCACCGTGTTGTGTCTTCTCGTATCACAAGGGGCCATGTGTGTTCAGCTCCGCTTTGATTCACCACCGAAAACTTTCATATGCAAACAAGGAGCAAGATCTAATCCCACACTGAGTCAAACTATTACCAGAGCTTACATTTCATTTTTGCTGTCTAACTTCAGGCAGTCACTTTGCCACTTCATGATGAAATTTTACAGTTGTTGAATAGACTCTTGTGACTTTGGCTGAGGCCTGATTGGTAGCAAATGAAAGATGGGTTCATAAGATTTCACATTTATTTTCAATGTCATTAGTTACAGCATCTGCTGATTTTTTCGTTGGTTTTTACTTTTCCTCTTTTCTTTATGAGACAAGAATATTATGTATGCTATGCATCTACTTATTTTAATTGATATGATTGTCACAGGCTGGAAATATTAATTTATCTTTGTGGGATACTATTTCTGAACCACATTTGTTCCATGGCAGAGGTAGTAATGGATCAATAATATTCATACAGTATACATGTGTACACTTGAAAAAAGAGAGTGAAGATGGAAGTGTTTGTGCCCAGTGAACATTATCTCTAACTCTTGTGTTGTTTGTGTCTGTGCAGAAGCTCGAGGAGCAGGACAAGAAGGCTTTGAATGTGAAGGAGCAGCTGCAGAGAGAGCACCGCTACCTCAAACGCCGCCTGGAGCAGCTCTCAGTGTCAGGATCTGTGGAGCGCATTCGCACCGACAGCATGGGCTCTACCATCTCCACCGACTCCGAGCAAGGTGCGTAGTGGTAGTAAATCATGGATTAATCCATCAGAGAACCTTGTATGTTCCAAATCTGGAATTTTTATTATGGGGATCTGAGTTCCGTATATTTACTAATCCTGGATGCAGTTTTTTTTCAATGGATGGGGATTTAGCTGTTTCTCCAGGGTTAATGGTCGCCGAAATCCAGGTCTTATCCACAGGTGTCCTAATAAATACGCCCATGGTTGGGTGGAAATAAACAGTTTTCTCCCTCTTGCTCTGTTTTCAAACAGTGCTGAAAATAACCCTGTGTATTTTCTTTTCTTCTTGCATGCAGAGGTGGACATCGAGGGCATGGAGTTCACCCCCGGCGAGGCAGACAGTTTGGACAGTATTAGCGACGTCGAGGAAGAGGACCACTACAGCCTCCAGAGCAGCTCTAGCGACACCAGCTACACAGCCACACATTCCCACAGACTGCAGCCGCACCACTGTTAGACACAGCGTGACCATCCATCTCCCAGCCAGCTTCCTCACCTGTACGTCCATCCTCTCACTCAACCTTCCCCCAACCATTTGCCATCTCCGCCTACTACCTACGTCAGACCAGTCCACAACGGCGGCACACCCTGAACCAGTTCCACCTTTCCTGGCCCTGGGTTTCCAGGAAACACATGGGGCTAAAAAGCCACTCAATCCTTCCTGACCCCCATCCTGACCACTGACCCTACCTCACCCTACTGTATCCTGCCTGACCCTCCTCACACGCCCTGCCCTCCCACTGCCCTCACAACCGCTACCAATTGTTGCAACAGGCTCAGACAGAGCAGGTCAGAGTTTGTGGTTTTTATCGGGAACTTGTGTGGTGCGTTTGTCAGCTTTGACTTGTTGATCAGGAATTTTTTTGTGTTTGTCTGTGTAAAAATGTTTGAGAGGTCAGAAACAAAATTTCTTCACATGGCAATCATACACGGACAAGGCTTTGCACTAAGTTTGTAATGTTAATGCCAAAGCACTTCTATTTGTTCTGCAACATTAGGACCTCGAAAGCTATTTTAATTACAAAGTATCTTCCTTATACATAATTTGATTCACGGGAGTCGTTACCGCAGATTTCCTGCTTGTTTCTTGAAACATTTGACATTGCTTATTAATTTTCTTAGTAAGAATCAGATGACAATCTTGATACCACTGTCATTTCTGTCAGTTTTATGAGGCAGCCAGTTAGCGTAGCTTAGCATATAGACTGGACAGGGGTGAAGCTAAATAACTAACATTTTAATATTTAGCTTGCACAGACGTTAAAACTTTAAAAGCTGTAGAAGTGCTTGTAGATGGGTTTCTTTAGCTGTGGACAGAGCCAGGTTAGCTTTTTCTAGTCTTCAGTAAGCTAAGATAAACTGCTGCAGGGTGTAGATTCCTCTTTACCACACAGGCTTGGGAACTGCATCAATTCTCTCAACTAATTCTTACCAAGCAAATAAGTGTGTTTCCCAAAATGTGGAATTATTCCTGTGTGCTGTCAATGCGTTGCAGTGCTTCTGCAGCAGCATCACTAAAAATAGGACTTTTTCCATCAGCTACTTTTGTACACAATTAACATCCTTATAACCAAACGTGGCTGATTTTTGGCCAAAGACAACCTGAAAATGTTTCAGAGCTGTAGCAAAGAGGAAAGGATGTAAATAGATGTACAGTTACTGTCCAAAACCTCCATGTCTCCCTCTGGTTGGGTTGCCTAACCACTACTCCACACTACTGACCACTACACTATACCACCCTATAGTGTGGATGGACTACTATGTCTCGAAAAACATGGAGTTGCCTCAAAACTAAAACTCTACTCTGTAAAGATTGGTCTAAATCTTTTGTCTCAGTAGCGAATTGATGTAGCAATAAATACATGAGGTGGGCGCTTCCACTGAAAAATGACTCTGGTGGAACATGAGGTTTTACTGCAGTTTTTTTCCTGTAAATGGTGAGTGGGTGAGTTGCAGAGAGAGGACCTGCAGAAAAAGAGGGGCAGCTTTCCTTTTTCTTTTTAACGAATGGGTCCTTCTCTTTTTCTACCCACAATTCCATCTACCCAGCATTGGCATCTTTCTACAGCTCTGTTACTTTTTCAAGCAGTGTGTGTGTGTGTGTGTGTGTGTGTGTGTTTTTCTCTCGCTCTGATTAACAAGTCAAAGCTATAAATGTGGAAAAAAAGTCAAAACTAAAAAAGGACCAGCTCTAATGATTTGTCTAGGCTTTTGTTTTTAGCCAACGTAGAAAATTAACAATATCCAGTTGAACTTTTGATTTTAACAACTATAACAAAAATTAATTCTGATTCTCTCTCTCTGCTAAAAGTTATGTATTTTTGGAGCTTCTCGGTACTGCTGAAGACCGATGCAGATAAGATTCCTCTCCGACTCGTCTTTAACCTTATGCACAATCATCACTATTGACAGACTGAAGTCTAATTATCATCGCGCCTCAGTCTTTCAGTCTTTAGGGCTCGGCGTCCCGACACTTCAAAAACAAAAAGGGCCGATCCATCGTGGCAGGTCTGACCAAAAAAACTAAAAAGTACCAGACTCAAAAGAAGAAAAAAANACTGAAATGAAGACTTGGAAATGTTTTAATATTTATTTTGGAATCCAGTGTACAGAGCACCACAACAAAGAAATGCTTCAGTAAAATGCTTTTAAATCCATGCCATCATCTCACACTATTGATTCCTGGGACTGCAATTTTGACAATATAGAACCACAGAGATTAGACAGAAATTATAAGTTCAATTTTAAATCTCACAACACATGTTCAGAGAGAAATACCATAGTGAATATTTTTAATATTGATGATCATCTGTTCATCTGCCACTGCTTTTCGCATGAGACGGTTGATGTCTTGAGACTTTGTCATATTGAGAGCCATAGGCATTTAGTAGAAATTACAGTTTAATCGTGATACTTTCTGCAAGTTTTTTTGTGGTTTACCCTTTTCCACAGATCTTGCTGCCCCAGCCTCTGCTGAAATGACAGGTTTACATTCCTGCTTTCCTGTACGGCATCTACATTGACATTTAACATGTAATGTGGCCGTCTACTGGCTAGATTGGCTTCAAATGATAGCTCAACCGAGGGAGCTATGGCTGTCTGGAAAGTTGATCAGGATGCCTGTGCGTTAGGGGCGAGACCTTTCTGTCACACGCTCTAATTGTTTGTTCAGTTGTGAAGGGATAGGCCAGCTGACCAATTGAAGTGGACTACGTTTTAATAATACAGGATTACCTCTCCAAACTCCTCTATCAGCACCCCCCCCCCCCAACTCCCTCCTCCCACCTCCCCAACCTGCAGTCCCTGCTCAGGTAACACTCCCCTCCTCTTTATCTCGTCCACCCTCTTCTTTCTCATCTCCTCCTCCCTTTTGTGGGGCTGAAATGCCAAAACAATTCCATAAGCAAGAAGAGAAGACCGCATTACGAATAAAGACAAAAATAAAAAGCCCCTCCAGTCTCTACTGAGAAACCGCTGTTGTACAACATCCTGTCCAGGCACCCCCCCCCAACACACACCTCTCGACACCCAATCATCTGCCACTGTCACGGAAAAAAACAACAACCACACACTGGTAATCTCCCATGGCAGCTTCCAGTCGCCCCCATATGGTCATCAACAGGGTTCAAAACTTTTGGGCTTGAGGCATGTGTCTATACATTTTTTTTTGGACATTTTACTATTATTGTATGTTGATTACTGTGCGTTTGTTCAGTGGGAGTCCCTGGGAGACGAGCGATAAAAAGAATAATCCAATTGATGGCAGCTTAAGGTGTTATCCTCAACGCTCCCAGTGGTTCATCCCCAGAATAGTGTTACCCATTGATCAGGGGACCTCTTGAGACACAGCAATATTACCATCTTGTGCTTTCTGAGGGAGGGAGGGCGGGAGGGAGGGGGTCGTTAAGACAAGCAGGTGGTTTTGCTTTTGACTCTGTGGTGCATTTTTTTGGTGACCAACTCTTTATTTTGTTTTGATGAATTTTACATCCTATCTGCACTCTCTCCACATACTGCAGCAGGGCAAAAAATTCATGAGATGGAAAAAAAACTTTTTCTTTTTGGAAAGGTCGTTCTTCTCTTATCAAGAGTTTACATTCATGTCCAAGAATTTGTACATGACTGTTTGTAGCATAAATGTCCTTCTATTTGTTGGTCAAATGAACAACTGAGTAAACCATAATAATGGGATATGATTATTCTCTTGCACAGAACCTCCCAGTAAGAAAGATAAATAGAGTGAATTGGATGAGCTGAGGGCCAGATATGAGATTATTCATTTTTCAGTGGCAACATTGACAAATGTACATAGCACATACTCAACATGAGTGCGTTATGGTGGTTAAACATTTAGTTTGAATGCTGAACAGGTGGCATTAATGGAAACTCTTTAAATATAAATAAATGTGCCTTTGAAAATGTTATTTTCGTAGAAGAAAAAGAGAGAGGGGATTGTAACAATTAAGGAGGACTGTATAATCTGTCACAGTTGCTCTTATTTTTTAACCCTAACAGAAGATGTTACTGCTTCTTTTCTCAAAACAAAAGTTAAGGCTTGTGTCAAAAAAGTTGACAGGAATCCTCATTGAACTCTGATCAAAAGAAAGATCAAAGCAGAACTTCAACACAAAGATGGGTTCAGTTTTACAAACTTCAGAGATCGGGGCAGAACAGGTTTGATGTTTTCTTTCTTTTGCTGTTGCACAGAGATTTACTTCAGTGTGTTGGGTTTTTTTTTTTCTTCCTCTTTTTTCTCTAAAGAGCACAAAAGCACAGCGTGATGTTTGGGGAAGTCAGCAGGCAGAGACAGAGAGAAACAGGGTGGCTGGGTTGTGGGATGAAATCGGGGTGAAGCAGAGATCGGGGACAGTCTGTGCAGAAAAGCTCCGGCAAGGCAGAAAAGTTTGTGCCCTCACATCCCAGAGCATGCTGAGCAATGGTGCTTTTGAAAAAAAACCGACTTCCATTAAATTTTATTCCTGCCAAATGAATAGTCACTTTTAAAACTAGTAAAGAGTTTATGTAATTCCAGCAGAACAGCTTTAACTACTTCTAGGCTTTAGGTCAGCTTTGCGCTTCCTGGACCCCAGCCTTTATGTCTTTTCTTCTTGTAATGTATCGAGTGACGCTCGCTCCACAGGAAGCGTTGCATCAACATTTCGGTTAATTTCTTGTTCCTGCTCTTGAGGAATAAGGGGTGGTTGGGATTCAGTGGAGAAGAGGATGGTGGCGAGTTTGTTGAGGCTGACACACTGTGCAGAGTAGGGAGAGTTCTGTGCCAGAGACCTGTGAATATGTTCCTTTTTAGCGGATGTGTAACATACATTCAGAAGATGTTATATAAGTTCCTTTTGTTTTGTGCGTGTGAGTGCGTGTTCATGAGTACCTGGTGCTGGCTATGTTTAGCAAACACTTGAAGGTCTTGTGCATTCTCTCATTGTAATATAATTAAAATGTTTTATACGTAAAGATGCCACAGCCTCATTATTGACCTGTAAAATGATTTGATACACTCTGTAGAACAGGCTTCTTTCTGAGAGGGAAACAGAAACTGTGACAACCGTCAACTGCCAAAAACAAAGCAGCAGGAATACGCAGATAAATGTGTTCAAATGTTATAAGGCTTCCTGTTTGGTTTTTGCAGCTATGAAACTGGAATATCAAGTCATTTTTAAATGTCACAGTTCATCGTTTGCAGAGAAAAGTTAACAAGAGAAATGAGACGAATGGACATGAGGCAAAATTAAAATAGTAACTTAAAACTTTTTATTAATGTTCAATTAGACAAAGAAACTAAAACAAATGAATTATTCAGAATTTGGTAGAAAAAGATTTTGAATATTTTTACATCTTTAGCTTTAACTCTGTTTTTAAGTATTAGTTTTACTACCTGGTTAAAATAAACCTACATATACTTGGTTTTAAAAATTCTTAATGTTAAATAATCCTTCAAGATTAGCAGCAGAAAAATCCAGCTACAATTCGATCTACACGGGAATGCAGTTATTGAAATGCACAATAAACATCTTCATCATCAACAGACAGACTGAAACTATCTATTCTCACTAATGCACCTCAGTGACACAGTCATATAGTTAAAGATAAATCACAATTTCAGAATGAATATGAGCATGAAGAGGAGGGAACTGCTCATTCTGTCTTTATTCACACAAGTGACTTTGGTATCTTGTGATTATCAGCGCTCTGGTTCTGCATTTACACTAAACTTTCTATTTATGTGCACTATATTACAGAATATACACCACATGCTGATTCTACTAGCACATACTCTGTGCTATATTTCACAGTGGGACATTGACTATAGTGGCAAACCCAGGCAATGTCAAATAATGAAGCAATGAAAAGGAACCATTATTCCAAAAGGTTGAACATAAAATCTCCCACACACATTAAACCATTACATTATAATCTTTTCACACAGCATAGGACTAATGTCAACTGATATGTAAAGCAGCTGACGAGTAATTTATAAACTGGTCAAACTGTAAAGAATTTGAACATTGTGCCAGAAATATATAGTGAAATGAAAGTACACCCACTGGTTATTAATACATTCTGATTCCATGGTCTTTAACAGTTGAGTCCAGTAAAATAATAAATAAGAGGCCAAGACACATTAGCCAAACTTTTCACATTTACACCGATGTCGTTACAGCATTAAAAAGATGCTGCTGATCTGAACGTTTACACAAAGGCAAGACGTTTCATACAAAGGCTCAAGACCTGAGAATTAATGACAGCCTAGAGCAGAACAGAGGAAAAAGACGACAGGGAGAGGAGGGAAAGAAGTAAAAGTCGGTGAAATTGTGGAGAACGGAGATTATCACACACAGGGTGGAACAACACCATCGAGAAAAGTGAGATCCCAGCAAAACTTCAGGCATTGTGTTGAGTTGATGTCACCTGTACGACACTTCACACTCCTGTCAGATGTACTGCTGAGGTTTCTGTGGGGTGGCAGCAGCAGCTGAGGCCAGGTTCTTGGCTGCTTCTTTGGCCTTTCCTGACGCATCCTTCATGGTGTCCCTGAGCAGCCGTGGGTGTGCCTCTCCTGTGAGACCAGAGAGTGTCCAGAGAGAGAGAGAGAGAGAGAGAGAGAGAGAGAGAGAGAACATAAGGACAACTAGCATATCCTATTCCTAAATATTCCTGATGCTTTTCATAAGATCAAGTAATTATTATCCCTGGGAAACTGATAATAAAAAAAAACCTTTATCACACTATTAAAGTAAAACTAAATTCCTGAATCTGCCCCTTTTTCTGGATCCATGCCAAAACCCAATGGGTTCTTTCTTGGACACTGTCCCATTCTTCCTCTGAGTTTCGTGGAAGTCCGTTCAGTAGGTTTTGTGTAATCCTGCTAACAACAAACAACCATGGCGGACATAACAATGCTGTTTACCTGAGCCCCTTTCTGACATGGAAACGAAACATTGAGCTTGTGTGATGACTTTGGCCTGTGGCACGTGAAAGGAAGTGTAACCCTGCGGCAGTGGGTTCAAAACTGTGATGACATTAACTTCTCTTAACTCCAACAAGCTGCAGCCTTCATAATTATGAGATACTACTGCAGTGCCCATTGTAACCTGCCTGTTGGACCGTGATGACGCTGGTTGCAGCTTTTCTATCTGAAACTGTGAAGGTGACCTGCAGTAATTGAGCTGCAGCGAGTGAAGACCAACTGCAGGGCCGAGGGTTTTTCTATCTTTTGCTCCACTTACACAGTGAGGGGAGAATTATCTGACATGAGGAGAATCTCTAACAACGTAAAATCAGCTAACTGTTTTTCACCGCAGATTTTCCATAGGAGGTGATGTTCGGATGAGAAATGCACCACAGTGAGTTTCTATGTGTGTGTTTGACCTTGTTAATCTTTTAATCTTTACGTTAATCTGACAGCACTCAACTCAGACCGGTGTTGAGTTACGTTTACAGGAAGGTCTGAGCTCGGAAGATTGAAACTTTAACTTTTGTGAAGAAGAAACTTGGCCACAAAATATGCAAAGGTTGCAAAAAGTTTTTGTTTTTCTGAAATAATCTTGAGGTGGGCACACCCACATTAGGTTGCTGATAAGAACGGCCTCCCACTGGCTGCAGAGTCTATTTGTGTCTGACCTCAGTGTGAACCCTCACACATGAAGCAGCTCACGTGAGGACAACATCCTCGAGGGGCAATTCACCAGAGCTGCGGGCTGGCAGAGGGACAAACCTCTTCACATGTAGGCTGATAACAACTGGAGGGAGTGTGTGTGGGGAGTTCGTGCAAACAACATTTATCTGCTTGTGCTGCGAGACTTCTACATCGCACAATATTTTACAGAACAGAAATCTTTTGGTCATCATGCGTGTTTTAGTGAACGGTGTGAGCACAAAACTAAAACGACGCTGACTGAGACAAGCAGCACATTTTCACTTTTATTCTGCCAAACGGGCTTTACCACTTTTCCTCACTCGAGTTGAGCTGATTTCTTGTGTGTGTTTGCTTCACTGACCGTGTCCCACACAGTCTGAGTGCAGCTCCACCAACACTCACTTCGAATCAACCTACAGCTACTTTCATGAAATCAGGAAAAATCCAAGCCACAGTCTATGTTCAGCCAGTGTGAACAACTGTCAGTAGTGTTAGTGGTGTTTTAGGCTTTAATTTTCCACTTAAATATCTTAATACACAGTTTAATAAAATAAGTGGGACATGTCTGTGAATATCAATATATGAGCCTCTCAGACATATAGGTATCTTTTTGCCGATATACAGACTTGAAAACTTTTGTTTTACAGAATAGAAAAATGCAGAAAAGATTTGGATTCATGTTTATATTTTATGATAAAAATCCATGTTTATTTTCAAGTTCTATGCATGTGGTTGTATTTATTTATCGTTATTTACAGCGACGTTTGTGGTTAAACTGTAAAACCTCAAATAGTTTTCTGTGTCATAAGGGTGAGATAATGAAATCTTAGGAATAAAGTGCTAATGAATATGTAGGAAATATAGGTTTTGGCACCCAAAACTCCTCTTATTTTGATAAGTTACCCATTGATAACACTGTTTAAAATCTCATTTTGCGACACAGAATTTCAGGAAGTTATCCTTTTGTCAAGGTCAACGATTTGTCCTTACTTTACAACATACTGTTTGGTTTATGTAGAGTGCAAAGTAAAAGAATAGAAATGTATAATGTAACACAAGAATTACTGTATTTTGCATTCTGATACAAAGGTTCTACGGTTTGACCTGGATTTCCACTGCAGTTTAGGAACCATTGTGTTAGAAATATGATTCGATATTGGTTAATTATTGGTCAATGTAATATGAAAGGGAAACATTCCAACTAGAGCAAGTTTAAAATGTAACTCAGAGAGATTGTGGCTTAAAAGATGGACATTTATAGATGTGATTTAAAACAACATATTAAATCACAAGTGATGTTCAGTGATAGCAGTGATAGTAAATGACCTGTTTGTGAGCTGAGAATTAGTCATGGCAAGAAAACAGTAATGATTATATTTGATGGAGATATAAAAAGGTTTAAATTTGAACAAACTAAACTATTCAGGATCTATTTTTATACCAACACTACAGTCACTTTTCTCAGTTTTACTAATCACACATTCTGCTCTGACTTTATCAAGACAAATATGTTGTTATCAGCTGACACACACAAAGGGAGACGGTCACTACCTGAGCTACACGAACTACTGTTTGAGGGTCATATATGACATCATGTGATAGCGCCTGGGATGACTGATGCCTCTCTGCTAACACACTTACCACAACACTCAGCCTGATGCCAATCCCTGCAGTGCCATCAACAAAGGGGCAGTGGGACAGAATGCTGCATTAGCACAACACACAGCTTCCACATAACAAACCTCAGCGCTCAGGATTCACTGTCAAACAAGGCACCACCTTTTTCACAGAATGGCTACACCCTGAAAACACACCTCTCTGATGATTGACTTTTCACACTTTAAGATTTTTCTCCCTTAAAGTACTTGATTTGATAATAAAAGGCTTTGTGAATGACAAACAAAGGATTCTGAACATAGTTACACAGATACCTAAAAAGGAATAATTTCTATCAAGTAATAGTGAGTCAATTTTTTAACTAAAAATGTTTGCTGGACAAAATGGTTTTAATATGTCAACTCATGTTCAGGAAATTATGTTTTTTTTCCTTATGAATGGACAGAAATTGGTGATTAATCTATAAAATGAGATTTGTTGCAGCCTTAGTTGTGATAGAGAGCAAACATTTACAGACGTAGTTAAACATCTCTATAACATCCATATTCCAGACTGCAAATATATAACTTTCTCTAATCAGGTTTCATTGATTTAATCCTCTTTTTGTTGTTTCAGGGGTTTAGACAGTAGTTTTTTATGCAACACTGACACTAACACTGGAAAGTAAATGTTTAGCTTCAAGAGTCCAGTAGGAGAAACTTAATTTTTTACTTTCACAAAATCTAGGGTTAGTAAATACTGAGGCTGCTTCGAGGATGTTTAGCCATGTAGGTCAAAATCTGTTTGTTTTGTAAATTTACCTATAAATAAATACAAGTAACAAACAATGTACAATATGTTGCAGCGTAGAGCTTTAAATAATGAAAGTGCAACTTCCTGAATCAGTTTTCTCCTTTCCAAAAATGGCATCAATTAAAAATAAACTTGTTTCTTTTCCCTCTTCCTTCCCCGCTCTGTGTCTACTGGTGAATATACGCACCCTGTAAGTTAGACAGAGCGTATTCCAGCCCCTTCATGGCCTTCACTTGGTTGCTCTTGAACCGAGCCAATCCAAACTCCTGGGAAAAGACAAAACAGGAAATGGCTTTACATGGTGGAGATACCTGAAAAACAACAGTGAGCTAAGGAGCTTCATTCTCCTTCTCTCTGGGGATTTAGAAACAAGCCTGGCAACATCTACATCTAATCATAACAACTTTGGGGGCTGACACATTTTTGGAACAGATTTCAATTTCCCTTAAATCTCCAACTTATTCTCTTTGCCGCCCAGGCTCCTACTGATGTCTATACGATGACCTTCAAATCAAACTAAAGCTTTGGAGACAGATCATATTTCTGTCCGTTTGAAATACATATACTTACACTGAAGCCTATTATTACACATACATATATGTATATAAGGGATTATAAATAACTAAGTGTACTACTACTGAAGAAAACACATCTGACTTATGTAAACATTTTCCTTTTGAAACTTTTGAAGGGAGGGAGAAAAATGATGTAGATTCACACTGATCTAAATGTGTAATACAATTTAAACTAATTTACCATGTTTTAAAGCACAATTTATTTCTGCATGACCAGAAGAAATGTACCTGAATGGGTCTAGAGAAACCATAAATGCCTGAGGATATCCACGCTTCCCGTTTCAGCAGGGTGGTGGCTGGCTGCTCAGCGGCGTCTCGGAAAATGCAGCGTTCTTCAACTGACTAATGTGAGAGAGAGAGAAGAGTGACAGCAGGTTAAGGTCAGGGTAACATTTTAAAGGTAGTTATATTCGCCACATAGCTCAGGAACATAATTCAAAGAACTGAATAGAGGAAACTGCCAGTTTAATGCCGGTTATGTTTCCTACTGCATCGGATTAAAAACATGAATAGGATCAATGGATCCTGCGTTATCGTGCAGCCTTAGGAGACACCTTAAAGCTGCATAATGTAAAAGTCAGGTCAAGGTCATTCTCCCCTGAGATTATACCATGTGAGCTTTGTTCAAACGCTGGCTTGCTTTGAAGATCCGGCAGCTGAATTACGGATCTTGATGAAAAAAGATCTGGCATATTTGGGGGACTGATATCTATGAGTGTGTGCAATTTGGTGCGGATCCAAATAAGCATATCAACTGGATTTGATCATTATAGTCAGTGAAGTTTGAATAGTAGAAAATCTGAATATCTACTCATGTGAATAAAACATTTTTCTTCCCCCTTGAACCACATGTAAGACTGACCACAGCTGAAAACTGTTACTGTCACTGCAGCAAGGTGTGGACTTAAACTGGTCGTCAGAAACCAAAAACTTTCCAGCTTTTACTTTCAAAGACACACAAAGTGAACTAATAATGTTTCCATCAAATTAATATTGGAGCTTCATACTGAAGTCCATACTGACTGGAAACAAACACTTTTCAAAATTGATTGCACTAAAGGTTAATAACAATGTCACTGAAATTGAGAACCACAGAGAATCAGGCTGCTCACCATGAGAGTCGTGTGGTTGAGGTTCCAGGTGTATGTGGTCAAGCTTCTGTTGACAGGGTCCACGATGGAGTCCTCGATGACGTACACGCAGCGAGACATGCCGGTGGGGAAGAACCGCTCTGCCCAGCGAGGCAGCCGATTGGTCTTTGTCAGGATGCGTCTGGAGAGGAGCTGCTGGTCCGCAGTCACCTCCCGGTAAACAACGTCCTCTGTTAGAACATGGGTGCTGGTTGAGAGAAAAAAGAGACACAGCCATGTCAGCTGTGTGGTTACCACTCATTTTAAGGTTTCAGAACTGTTTATCATTCAATGCAGACAGATATGGTTGACACATTACAGAACAAAGATCTATCAGGTCAAGTCATAAAGCAAATACAACAGGCCCACTGAGAATATACTACGAATTAGTTTGACTTCTCTGATGTGTTTTCTCACTTCTCTATATTAATCAAGACCAAGGAATTATTTTTTGTTTCATAAATGTGAAGCAACGTATATTCAACACCATTACGAGGGTGTTCTAATTGTGTGAGCAGGATTTTGAATAACTCAAAACATTAATAAGAAGATGATTTAATTGTCATGTTTTACACTTTTGCATGCATTTAACCCATCATGTTGGCACCTGTCGAAACACACACATGCATAGAAACACACATAGACAGATGCCATGTACACACATATACTGGAACCAGGGAGCAGATGTTGGGGAGGGGGGCGGTGCCTTGCTCAAGGGCACCTCGGTCGTGGCGAGGAGATGAGCTGCCATCCCACCAAACAGTGGGAGCGGGGATTGAACCGCCAACCTCCCGGTTATTGGACGGCCTGCTCTACCGCTGAGCCACGAAAAAAAGCCATAAAATTGCTTCATTCCAATTATGAAAACACTTCCAGTCATCACATGTAAATTTTCATGTGTGGCAGTTTGTAAAAAGAAACACATCCACTCTTGTTTTGTACATTATAGGTTCTGTTTTAATTCAGACACTTAGTCCAAAAAAAGCTGGAATATCTTGAGGAGACAGCTGTACAGTGCAGACTTTACAATGAACATCTATGTTAAAAGACTATCAAAGACTATCATACCTGTATGGGTTAGGGTACCTCTGCCAGAAAGCAGAGACGACATGTTCCCACGTGCTCCTGATGTCTGTGCTGTTACAGAAATACTTGACCATTATCTTGCTGTGCAGGATGACCTGAATCCCAAACCCTGTGGTCCCCTGCTGCGACTACACGAAACACTGACAACTTATATGCTGACTCCATCCAAAGTTTGAAACAATCCTGTAAAAGTAAAGAGAAAAAGCTCATACAAATTGAATGTATATGCACTTAGATATTAACTACATATACAATATTTTGTCACATAAATTTGTTGGCGTTATCATTTGACGATTTAAACTCATCCACCTTCAGAGATCTTGCCAGAGATCTTTTTACAGCATGATGGTTGGTACATTAGGCCACAGTAGGCAAAGTTGCAGTGAGAAGGACTTTTTTTTTTACCTGCAAACTTCCCTTCCCCCATGGTATTATTAATATATGAATATTTAATATGAGCAACGTTTTACGGTAAAATCTTCAGAAACCTGACATACTGACAGTGGTGGTCACCATGAACAAGAGTGAGGTGAAATATCTGAGTCACTTCTCAAGGGTTTGAAAAAAGAAACTGAATATGAGCAATGAGTGTCAGGTTTCCATCCAAAACATTCATATGACATTTTATTTGTGTCTTGTGTGGAAATCAAACCAAGCTTCCATAACAAGTGTCATTACACTTTGTCTCAGGCTTTTTTTCTGCTCCACTGTGCACGAGCATTATCTTCAAAGTGCGGCTGATGTGACGCAGGATCACATGACCTCAGAGCTGCCGGCTAACGTTAGCACCTTGCACAGCTCCCAGGTTAGCTTGTGAGCACTGATACAGCAGTTTAATATCTAAGTGTGACTGTTAGCCTGAGTGCTAACCGGTATACACGCACATGTGAGTTGTTTCTATCAAAGCTACTTCATGCCTCTGTCGATTTGACAGCTAGCATAACAATACCTTGACGTAGTGTGTTCATTCTGTTAGCTAGCATTAAGGCTAAGTGGACAGAAGTGTTGTTGGCCCTGATGAGACAAGAGACAAGTCTTACCCGAAGTTAGTGCTGATAAAACACCAGACTGATAAATGTCCTGTCAGTCTGCTGAGCCTCTGGAGCCGGTAAAAGATCCAGCATTAGCTAATAACATCCACCATGCTACACGTGACACACAGGACAGGAAACCGTGGCTTTAATGATACTACGTCCGGTCCTCATTTCAAAGTTAAACCTTTATTGACAAATGGATGTGTGGAATGCGTCTGTAAACACTGCTTTTAAAAAAAATAAAAAAAATACTGAATGAATAAAAATGTGCCATGCTTTTCTGAATTAACGAGATAAGTTTTCTTAAAACAAACTAAAACACTGCTCTGTTTTCCAGAATTAACGATTTAATAATGACGTTGATTCAGAAAAAAATGTAAAACAAGACAAAAAAATGATTGAAATGAAATAAAAGTCCTTTATTCACATTGTTTGTCTCAAATTCATTGTTTCTTTTTTCTGGACAGGAGTGACTCATCTTCGCTCTCACACCATCTTTGGAGCAGGGGGAGTCATGTGACGCAGCAGCACGTTTTTTCCGGCCTACGTCATGACGCAGGGAGCAACAGGAGGATGAAGTCGAAGTGAAGCAGCGAAACGTGAACTCGGTGAAAAGTGATCGATCAGATCTCAGGTCAGTTCATTTTCTCTTTTCACGACAAGTTTGAACTCGTGTTTGTTGAAGTGACTCGCGACGTGTCGTCACTTTGTGACACTCGGAGTCTCCGTCCACGTTGACATGTTGTTTACAAAGGATCCATTCATACCTGAGTCCGACTCTCGTCGGTTCATTCGGTCCGTCGTCAATGTTCACTGTGGATTCACTCATTCATCAATTAACCAATTAACTCTCAGAGACACGGTTTACATTGAACTGTCAGCGCTTCAGCGGACAGAGGCGAGTCTACAGTCTACCGGGGCAACGACTCCCAGGGGGCCCCTCAAACAGCAAGAGCACAAAACTAGAGCTGAATACATTTATAGGTGCAGTTTGACATCCGGTGCAAATGAAGCCTCAACTTTAACTGTACCGAGTGTGTATGTAGACTTATTGTACATGTGTATGTAGAGTTATTGCATGTATAGTTATTGTACAGGTGTATGTATAGTTATTGTACATGTGTATGTATAGTNAATCTGTTTAGTTATATAGGAATCTGCACATTAATATTAATTAAATTTTAACCAAACAAATAATTTGTAAATAACAATAAAATATTCACAAAATGCACAGTGGCAATTTGTGTATTGACAAGTGATCAGTGCAACATCATTTATTTTTTATTTTACTAATGCACTGAAAAACTTCTGAATAGTTTGTCAACACTGCAAGATGGAGCCTCAAGTGCCAAAACTGTCAAAAGAGTTAAAATGTGAATTAAATGTCTGAATAATGCAGCAGAGTTTTATACCAGTCTAGAGCCACACATCTCAGCCAGGATACTCACAGAATGTACATAAAACACTGATGTAGACTATTTGTGTCACAAAGTGTTGCACTCCTCATTGGAAAGTGTATTTAATCTTATATCCCTGTTGACATCAGGATGCGTTATACTTCCTTGTACCGCTTGGAATTTTCGCCATCTAGCGGATAAAGAAGGACATAAACACAAAAGTAGCTTCAATAAGAAATATTTGACAGTTTTGTAGTATTGTAACATTTCATTGTAACATGTCATTATCCTCCTTCAACTGGTGGTTTCACAGCCTCACATTAAAAGACAGAAGCAGCCTGAACAATATTGTGGAAATCTGTCCTAAGATCCTGTAAGTATTTGCATGTTACTTATTACTTACTGAGGCCTGTTTTGGCTCTTGCTAATGTATTATTGCAAATTTTATTTTGTCAATTATTTGATCTTATCGTTCCAAACAGGGGAATAAATAAACACCGTGTAGTACATACTCCTGTCCTGCAGGTGTCGTACTATAATCTATCGAACTCTTCTATCTGGCCCACGTCTCCTTTTCTTCCGCTTTTTCTTCTTCTTCGCTTGACTGTGTCCTCCATGGTGTCATTGCGGCTCTGTTGAGGTTGAACGTCCACATAAAAGAAGCCATGTCTGGGTACACGCCGGACGAGAAGCTCCGTGTCGAGCAGCTGTCAAAGCTCCGCAGACAGTGGCTGAAGGACCAGGAGCTCAGCCCCAGGGAGCCCGTGGTCCAAGCCAAACCTGCCGGCGCCGTCGCCAGGTTCTGGGCTGGCTTCCTCGAGCCCAAGAGCCTGTGGAGACTTTACGTGAGTCCGTGTAAACATACTACCACACACATGCTCGAGTGATTACACTTCATACGTTGATGTATGAGTGAAGGAACGCTGTTGGTGTAACTGCTGTTCTTGTCTAAGTAACATTAGCACACTGAGAGCTACAGTACAGCCAGGTGCATTGTTGATTCGCCTCCAACGTGGTGAAACCTCTTTTATCTACTTTTGAAACTTCCCAGCTGTTTGTGTCTGTACAGACATCTTCTCATCTTACATTAGCAGGAGATGTAAATGTTGAATTTGATAACTTGAGTAGAACAGAGACTTTGTTTATGTTTTCAGGAACACATGATCTTAAAATGCCTGCTGGGAAAAAGGCATCATATCACATTAATTTAGAGTTTGTATTGATATTTAGAGTTTATCATAACCCCTGTTTTAAAATAAGTACTTGATTAGATTGGGTGATGACTTACCAGCCTTAGCAGTATGCCATTCTACAATTACTGGTCATATTACATAAATTATATTATTTGGAAAGAGTCGACCTTACTATGTTAAGTGCCTTGAGATATGTATGATGTGATTTGGCACTATACAAATACAATTTATTTCAACTGAATGGGGAAATATACTTGCTGAGCTTTGACATTGTTTTTCAAAGAAAGAGAGTTTTCATCCTCAGGGTTTTTGTACAGGCAAACTGCATGGTGACCTTTCATCAGTGGTGGGAGAGATACTGAATAAATCAGAATTAAAATTTGGTGAAAAGATCTTCCTAAATTTATCTCATGCAAAAAGACCCAAATTAAGATGTTCCCTCGTTTATCCATCAATTTACACAATTTAAGTTAAGAGAATTCAGAGAGAATTCAGCGTCAGTTTGTTTTACAGCCTTTAGAAATGAAGTCAAAATTGTTTCGTCAAACTGGTTTGATATACCACATGCAGCCAAATGTTTCTAAATTGCCCTCAGAGAGCTTTACAAAAAGTACAATTGATACCCATGATTCCATTGATTGTAAAGTAGATGTTGAATTTTTGAGTTTTTGCTGTGTCACATTGCTGCCTCTGTCACTGTCTGGACTCATCAAGAACGTGTTATTACACACGAATTGTGTTTTTTTCATATTGTCATTTGTACCCCTAAGTGTACCAGCCCTACTTTATCTTACTTGATAGTACTTATGACAATTCTCTGTATTTCTTAGAGCCACTTAGGGCCAACACTTAATATACAGCTAAATATTTTACATGCATATATGAATTACTTTAAATTATGATCTGTGTGGAGCAGTGAGGAAGAAGACCATTATTCATTGTGTAATTCTCTCAATGCATATTTATTTGTTTATCTCCTTACAGACCTACAAAGCATATAAAGGAGGAGTTTTCACATTAACACGGCTGTTGATACCTTCTTGGATTGTTCACTACTGCATCAAATACCATGTTGCTGTAAGTTAAAATAAATATTTGACATTATTTGTGATGTTAAATTGCACTATGAAACAATAATCAACTTCCATATTTTCTGGGGGTTGACTGTGTTTAGTTTTATATTCCCAGCATGCCTCGGCTCAGTGGTGTTTCTATTTGATATTAGCTTTACCTAACAAGGATTTGAACTCCAGGCTTGCTGTACCTAAAGGGGGCTACACTACCACTCATGTTTGTTATATGTATAGCGGAAGTCTGATACTCCCAGACCACCAGTCCACCACTGCATATATTAGTTGTATCATTCTATAGGGACTATAATAAAGTAACTTGCAAAGAAAGCACGTGCACTTTTAGAATGATGGATATGCAACATTAAAATGTTCCATGATCACCATACAATTATCAAACTACGCAGGTGTTTGCTTCAGTTTATAAATGCAGAGATCAGTAGGCATTATAAATAACAGTATCATTGTCCTCCACAGCCTAAGCCATTTGGTATTGTGGAAGTGAAACCCAAGCTGTTCCCAGTAAGTTCAACTCATCTATTGAATTTAACATTATGCTTTTTTTTCTATAATACCTGTCCTTTTTATTTCTCGTATGTACAACTCTTTATGAGCCTGCATTATCAGCCATAGCTTTATATCTTGAAAGAGGGAAGAAATATTTTCTTAATTATTTCTGTTCTTGATTTTGTGTTTAGGGTGACACCATTCTGGAGACAGGAGAAGTTGTTCCAGATCTCCCCGAGACCCACGGCCATCACTGAAGTTAAAATATTTCAATAATTTCCCTGAGTTTATGTTGTAAAAACTGTTAATATGCCAATAAAATATTACATTGTAATATCATTTATTGCCATGACTCTGATTTTACAATTGAATCTAATCAGCAAGTTGCTTTAGTATTTTCCATTTTTACAACGTGTGTTAATAATACAGCCTTAGCAGAGCAGCAGTTAGCTTTAAATCACAAACTTGGAACACATATGCACTGGATACACTGGATATCCGAGAAGTGAGCACACAAATCTGTTTTTAAAGAGATCTCTCTCAAGTCGTCAGTGGGTATAACAACGAGGCCTAAATGGGTTTTATTTTGACGTGCTGCTTACAATTATGGTTTTATGGTTCCATTGTTAAAATTTACCATCATTGTCACAATATGTCATTACAATAGTATAATTGTAAAACTTGGTTAAAAAGAAGTAGGCCAGTAGCTGTTTGTTGTGTACAACTTCATTTGTTATTTGTCTAGTATATGCACTGATGCTTTTACACCATAGTGTTCATAACTCACACAAATATTTTGAAGTTGAAGGAGTAACAAGTATATTTGAAATGTTCTTATGGGTTGAGGTATTTCCATCTAGTTTAGTCAATAAATTGCTGCATGAGCAGCAGCATCTCTGTGCATCATTGGAGCTTTTCCCGAGAGCTAACAAACTAATACTAATTACTAGCCATTTAATACACTTTAATAAACCAGTATACATATCTCAGTGAATAAAACACAAACAGCTTTAGCTGCTCTCAGACAGACCTTCAGACAGTCAGGCATCAGATGCATTTACATATCAGTGGCAGTTTGTGTTGCCACCGGAAGTGCCTCTTCGAACTACCGCTGCCACTATCTGAGCTCTCCCTCACTGATGTTCGTGAAGGGAGGATGTGTTTCTTTTGTCTGCTTGTAAACAGTCGCTAAGGATCGAACGTCTTGCAGAAATTGACTCGTCTCTCCTGGACAGAGAAGGTCAATAAGCCGTCACCATTGTTCGTGTCAGAGGAACTCGGAGGTAAACTTTTCAAACGTCCTGGCTAACTAGCTACATAGCATCTTAGCCGCCTTAGCTAGCCTGCTAACTTTAGCTAACCAAGTGAAGCTGTTCGCAAACTACACTCTGCAGGTTTGTTTATCGTCAGCTCCACTGTTCTCCCGACAGAAGAGTTTACTGTCGTTCACGTGTCAGTACTCGAGGCGACTTATTTCCAGCTGTGAAGCCACAACACTCGCCTCCAAACAGGCGGCACTTGTAGCCTAACGTGCTAATGTGCTAACCAACCGAAAAACAACACAGTGGAAGGTGAAGAAGGAGGAGAACAAACGTTGGTTTGATTTCGAGCTCAGCCGCGTTTGATCCTGTAAATAATATGACACGAAGATTAGTGGAAATGATCGAAGTGTTTCCAGGATCTCTCATGGACAGGGAGGTCTGCTGTAGGAGGGTGACTCTGGACGAGCTGACCTCACCACACCATGACACTGAGCGATTTAGACATTTTTATATGAATGACATATTTGGTCTTTAGAGACTGAAATATCTTTATGATCATTTGATTGACATGTAATTTTACAGAGTCTGGTGTTTGAAATACGTTGGTATTGGTATTGACCTCAGTGTTTAAACCTGGACCAACACCTCAATGTTGGACTACAAAATCTGATACAGAAATGTGCCTTATCTTTTTATTTCTAGTGCTACAAGTTCACAGCTGAAACTGAAAAGTCTTCACTCTGTGATTTGATGAGAAATTTAGTCATGCAGACTTTTAAGCTTACTTAGGAATTTACTGCATGTGAATTACTTGTTAATTTGTGTTTTTTTCCCCAGTTAATGCAAATGTATTTTATGCTTTAGCAGTTAATTATAGTATTAAACTACTTAAGTTTCAAGGTCTGATTTTAAACTGTCGAACCTCTGTGGAAATGAACAGTTACCTTGATGGCTGCCTCACCTTTCTTGTTCTGTAGACTTTACAATTCAAAATTGATTTCATCCTTTTTTTGTGTCAGATCATGTCAGCAATCAAGATTGCCCTGCAGCAGAACCAGAAGAGTAGGAGGAGGAAATCCTCTGAATCAATGTCAGCAGAGGTGTCGCCAGACTCCAAGTGTCCCATCTGCTTGGACAGGTTTAACAACATTTCATACCTAGACCTCTGCCAGCACAAATTCTGTTTCTGTTGCGTTTATGAGTGGTCCAAGAACAAAGCAGAGTGCCCTTTATGCAAACAGCCGTTCAAGTCAATCTATCACAGTATAAAATCAGAGCAAGACTTTAAGAAGTATGACTTGCAGCCAGTGAACAATGGCTCCTTTGGTTCTTTTGGGGGTGTGCGGTTTAGATACCGCACAACTCTCACTGGAGTCCACCGACAGATGCGTGGAAGGACCTCGCCACCTCCAGATAATGGAGTAATGTTTGAAGCCTCAACAATCCCTCCCCAACAACCTCAGGACCGCTATGTTCGACGCATGATGATGAGGCTGGCGGCCAAGCGGAGAGCTGCGAGTGAAGGAAGAGCTGTGAACAGCGTAAGAGAACAGGAAATGGTTAACTTCAGGAGAGAGCTCTACCGGCAAGGAGTTAGGGTCCGGATCGTTCGCGATGGGGGCCGCTCGCGAGACACCTCAGCTGAGTTCTACCGAAGAAATCCTGCCTGCCTACATAGACTGATCCCCTGGCTAAAGAGAGAGCTCACTGTGCTGTATGGGTCCCACGGCTCTTTGGTAAACATTGTTCAGCACATCATCATGTCACGCATTACACGTTTCGACATGGAAGATGGAGCTATTCTGGAAGAGCTCAGGCCGTTCATCCAGGGACGCACAGAGCACTTTCTGCATGAGTTCATCAACTTTGCAAAATCCCCCTTCAATTTGGAGGCGTATGACCAGCATGCTGTGTACGACTGCCCAGCCCCTTCCTCAAATGAGGACGGCAGCTCCAACTCATCTGTGATAGCAATTTCAGAGGACGAGGAACTCGCAATGGATTTGGACCCCCCAGGAGAAACCATGTCTACTCTGAGTGAATCTGTGTGGGATGATGAGACTCCTGGACCTTCATATTCTACGACAGCAGAGCAGAGCCGGGCAGAGCGTCTGTCAGTCCTCGACTCAGACTCTGACAACAGCTTAGAGGAGGAGACACAAGCGTTTTATGCTTCTCCACTGCAGATGCACCCCCATAACGAAACAGTCATGACTCAGGGTGTAGTTAACAAAGAAGAGGGTTCGTCTCCTGACAACAATGACTGCATCATTGTAGGCTTTGTCAAGCCCACAGTAGATAGAACTCCTGAGCTGGTTCAGCTCTCCTCAGACTCTGAAGAGTTTGACTGTGAAGATACAAAGGAAGTGCCTCATTTACCTCAACACATCCGCTTCTCCAGTCTTAGTCCTGTTGCTTCTCAGAGCTGTGATCCAAGTGGTGCTGGACAGTCAGAGAATGTAGAAATGGACCACAGTCACCAGTTTGATTCAAAAGTAATATGTAGCTCGCCAACATCTAGCAGACCCAAGACATCCAGGAAGTCAGACAGAAAAGATAGAGATGGCGGTTCTGATAGTAATGAGAGGTCTAGGGAGCGACACTGGTCAAAGGACAGAGACCAGAGGAGACGAAGGAGGTCAAGTAGTAGAGAGTATAGGCACAACAGCAGGAGGCTGGTGATCTCCCAAAGCAGCGGCAACACGCTATCCAAGGGAAGAGATTATCCTAACAACAACGACAGAGACTCACAATTTGACAGTAGTTCTAAAAGGAGGGACAATTATCAGAGCAGTCAGTCTTATAGACATTATGGCCAAGAAAGAAATAGCAGTGGGACGCATTACACAGAAAGACGGTCTTACTATTGCAGTAGTCGCAAGTATCCAGATAGGCACACATACTCTCGCTCCAGGAGCCGCAGCAGAGACTCACAAAGACGTGATAGGAGGCATTCAAGATCTTTATCCAGCAGTCGCTCTCCTTCAGCAAAAAGTAAATCCCACCATGACAAGCCTGGTGGAAAGAGAAAGTACAAAACAAGACATTTGGAGGAGCCATCCAAAAACACACTTTCCAACTCATACCATGAAGAAGACGCCTCAACGGCATTAACAAAGCACAAGAAGAAGAGCAAAGAGAAGCATCGTAAAAAATCCAAAGAGAGGTCGAGAAAAACAAGTAGGAGCCTGAGTGTGGAGCTCATCAATGAGGAATACGCACATGAGCGAAGCAAACGGCATCACAAAAAAAAGAAGAAACACAAGAAAAAAAGCAAAAAACACAAGAGTGATGAGCGTGCAGAGAAGAGATCGCCCACTATCATCACCATTGACAGTGACAGTGATTATTTTGGTAATAACAGTGGCACCCAGGCCTGCAGCACTAATAAAGACAATGCTATAGACAGTTTCACAGATGACCCAGTTGACCCCCCCACTCTGACCTCCTCATTATAATTAGGTGAAAATCCAGATTATCGCTGTGTTTGGTGGGAACCAATGGATTCACTCTCATCTATTATCTGGTAGCAGTATTTCATAAACGGAGGATATCGGGATTTCACATATCAATTTAAAAACCACCACGTTTGGACTTCTCATTGGACTCTTATGACACACACAAATATGTGTGCGACAAATATTAAAATTTTCATTCTTGACTGTGTTATGCTATTTGATGTGCATGGTGCCACTTTTTTAAGAAGACATGATAGAATCAGATTTGAAGTGTCAGTTTTTCAAGTGTCAATCCTTACTCTGGAAATTAATTTTCCTAAATGCTTTGTATTTTGAAATTGCTCTCAGGGATAACATCGATTAAGGTCAGTGATGGGTTTGGTTACAATAAGTCAAATATATCATATCTTCAGACAAACCATTTCTACTTGCAGCTCATGGAGGATGACAAATTATCAGCAGATGGTGTTAAGATTTCTCTTTTCTATTGTATTTTATTTAAAAATAAAATGTGATAAGAAAATGTGTTGTTTTTTTATTTAGTTTTGTGTTTACTTTGGGTACAGGCAGAGTATAATAAGGCAAAGTATTATAGTTAATTATAATCAGGCCATAGGTTTGTTACACAACAGTGTTTACATGTTACACTTTGATTGTTATTCATATAACTGAAGAAGTGTCATTACAGCTGAGTGATTGAATTTCCAGATTAGAGCTGCAATGATTAGTTGACTAGCTGATTAGTTGATCAACAGCAAACTATTTTGATTATCATACATTTGTGAAGATAAATAAGCAAAGGCCAAAATTTTGCCGTTTGAATCCCCTCAAAGGTAAAAATACCGTATCTTCATGAGCTGGTCCTCTGAAAGCTCTTAATGTGCGAAGAGATATTTATTGGAATCCTACTGTGCAGTATCACATGTACTGTAAAGGCAGGAAAGTGTCTCCTTTACTTCCTGTTAAATGTGGTGAATGTGGTTAAAATTCAACATTTAAGCATAATTTTTTAGTGTGCCAGCATTAAAAGCAGTTTACCCTTAACAGTTCTTTAACCAATGTCCTTAGATGGCCCTGTATAATTGGACTAGGTATACAATCATAAGTAACATACAGCATGAGCGAAGATGTATATCTTTCTTTTTTAAGAAATATAAAATCCAGTTTACTTATCAACTTGGTTGGAACAGGTAATTCAGAGTACACTGTTATTATCTGCCTTTTGGCATAGTAAGCAAGTATATTATCTGTTATTACCAGTTTATTACGCGATATGTCCTCTCTCAGGTGATGACATCAAACAGATCTTTCTATCTCTCTCTCTATCTACCTCTCTATCTATATCACCTCCCTCAGATGTAAAATACTCAAGATAAATAACCAACAACAACTTGTGAACATAGGTTCACCTCCGCGCTTTTGTTTTGAAACATAATAACAGGAAGTGAAATGTTTGACTTCCGGCTCTGTAGCGGATATTAAGGACGGACTGAAGCTTCTCCTGCCTCTGTACTTGGTCACATCTTTACTTTAACAGGAGAGGACGCAGTCATGGCTTCCACAGCGCCCATTAAGGTAAGAAGCCATCACGTAACGTCGCATTATAAACGTCACTCTGGAGAATCAATGAGGAAGCTCAGCTCAGGGAAACACTCCAGCTGCAGCTCGGACAAACGTGAAGAAGCTAGTGGACGTTAGCATCGTGTTAGCCAAGCTTAAAGTGTGCAGGCTTTCAAAGGTTACGGTGTTAGCTTGAAAAAACAAACACGCTAACAGTCGCAGGAGAAATCCAGTGAGCTGTCAAGAGGAGCTGAAGGGGGAGCATGTGAGGTACATCCCCTGGAGGCTGGAGCACGTGTTCACCCGGCATCTCTGATCCACAGCGTGACAGCTGACTGCATGGAGGAAGTATCCAGGTCCCCACTTTAAATGATAAGTGACCATTTATAACTATAGTATAACCACAGATGGCCCTTTGTTTTATGAAGCTGGTTCAGCCTGATAGTTTGAAAGAGGTGTTGCTTCATCTTATTGTGCATTTTGCTGCTGAGTTGTTTTAAGGTGTGCTGACAGATGTTTACATTCAGCATTAAGTCTATTTGTGTATATTTTCTCACTGACATGTGGATTATTTACTTACACTGTAACAGTCTCCTATTCTCATTTTGTTTGCTTGCATAGGGACAGTGGATGTAAATGAGCATTCTTGCTAATTCTCTCATGTTTACATTTAGTATTATATACGAATGTTCGTTAATGTGCTATGTCTCCGTTAAATATGTAAATAGAACATAGATTTTGTAATATAGATCTACAGCACCACAATTACAACACCTCTGTAAAATAGGCAATGGTTTTGTAGTATAACTATTAATGATGCATTATTAAGTTGTAACTGTATCAGGCTTGTAGCTGGTATAAGGAGGAATAAAAAGTTTTGAACAATTTCTTACTCTGCTTATTTGATCATATTAAAACCTGACTGATTTATCAGTTGGCCGATATAAAGTGGCTGATATGAGGCTTTCACACACATATGGGTATCTGCATGTGTGTTTGCAGATATGCGGCGATTTAAAAAAGTATTATTTTACAGAATAAAGTTGTGCATTTCTGTTTATATTGTGTAAAATGTGAATATGTGGCTGCATATAAACTGGAAGGAAAATGAGTAACCACACTGTTGAAAATCACAACAAGTTTATAATAATAACTTTAATTATTAGACTTTTTTTATTGTTTGATCTAGATTGGAATAATTGGTGGTTCAGGCCTTGATGATCCAGACATCTTGGAGGGAAGGACGGAGCGTTATGTTGATACACCGTATGGAAAGGTCGGTGAAGCTCTTGACCAAAGTTTCTTGGATAATAGATCAATGTAAATTATTAGCTCTACTGGCATTGTGGCATATTTTTAGTAAAATGACCCCTTGTAGTAAAATAATTCCTTACTGGTTTATACACAACTTGATTATTCTGCTCTTTTGAACAGCCATCTGATGCCTTGATACTGGGGAAGATAAAAAATGTGGAGTGTGTCCTGCTCGCAAGGTAAGAAAATGTGAATCATCAAAATGTTTTCTGTTAGCACCATCTAGTGGAAGTTCTGTGCACTTGTCAAATATACTTGACACTAGTTTCTGCATCTCTTCACACAATATTTCACTTCATATAAAAAAAATGTCATGTTACATCTAAGCCTATATTTTTATATTTCTGAAATTGATCAATGTAGACTATTTCTCAAATGCTGTTTTTTCATAGGCACGGGAGACAACACACCATAATGCCATCCAATGTGAATTACCAGGCCAACATTTGGGCGCTGAGAGAAGAGGGCTGTACACATCTGCTGGTTACCACGGCTTGTGGCTCACTGCGGGAGGAAATTCAGCCTGGAGACATTGTCATCATAGATCAGTTCATTGACAGGTGAGTGTGATGTGAACATTTCAGATTAAGGTTCAGATAACTTGCTAATGCGGCCATTTTATTTATTTATTTTTTCTTCAATTTACTCCCAGGACTGTGATACTCTTCCGAGTGCCTTATTCATATTCCTCTATCGCTACTTTCAGAAATGCTCTGAACTTTCAAAATTTTCCTGATATTTTACAGACTGACTTTATGTGAGAATGCAAGCTTTCCTGCCAGCCCATTAGTAAAATGTTGGGAAAAAAGTTGCATGTTGCAGCCTTCAGTCGTCATAAAAACTCAAAAGGTTCAGTTTGTCCAGTTTGGACGACTGTAAAAACCATGGCAGCCTCTGTAGAGTGGACCCGCTCCTGATGTAAATATAAAGGGCCCATTCTTTCTGGGATATTACTTCATATCTGTCGTACTTGACATAGATCTTGAATTTTTTGTTAATTTAGATTTAAAACCTGCAGAAACCCTGATTTTAGTAGTGGCACACAGGTTGCCTCTTTTTCTGGTGTCCAGCTGTCTCACTAACAAGGTTCAGAACTTGATCCTAATTTAAGTTGCAGCTATCTGTGCTATTCAGCAAATATTATTGTGGCCACTATTTAACGGTCAGGAGCAATGTCAGGAAACCTGACTCGCTGCACTTTCTCACACCAGTGCACATATGGCCAATCTCAGAGAGAAGTCACAAAATCTAGATGAAGAAAAAAAAAATCTTGTCCAGATGTGTAGCCTGTGGGCGTGGTCGACAAGGGGAACTTAGGGAACTTCCTCACTGTCTGATCAAACTTCTTTTCAAGTGTATTCACAGGTGTAATAGCTATAGCTAAGATTCCTGTTTGTCTTTGGAACATAACAATAACTTACAGCATCATAATATAATTTACATCACAACACAGCCTTGTTACTGCTTAATTAAAAGTATTCTCAAGGGCAAATTATATTTAGGTGAATTAAATGGCTTCATGGTTTGCTTTTATGAATTCAACTCTAAAATATTGTATTTATATCTGAATGTGTTGTTATTGTTATATTAATTGCTTATGTTTCTCTTACTTGTTAAATAGTTCAAGCTTCTGTCAAAAGGTTGTTCATGGTGGTTGTGCAGGAGGGCAACTATACAAACAACTCAAACATCTTCCCACAAATCTCAGTGACAGGACTCATGTTACTGTGTGACGAGAGCGTCCAGATAGCTGAGTGAGAAAGAGGAGAGTTACTCGCTGTGGTTGACACACTTGTCAAAGCCAAGTGTTTGTTTACAGTCATGTTCAGTGGGAATCAAACTGTTAACCTGTGTTTAATTTGTTATTGTTGAGCTCTCGGGTGTCACAGTTCACCTCAGGCTTTGGTGAGAATTAAAATTGTAGGCTCTGTGATGTGCACCATTTGGAAACAGTTAACCCCAGTATGGTGCCAGAGCATCTACAGCACAACCTTTACTATACAGATAGTTGTAAAGTGTTGGATTTCCTTCCTGTCTGTCATAGTTGTGTATCATGTTCTGTGTTGTGAGCTGTCAGTTCTCATTCATTTATTTTTCTCACCTAATATCTACTATCCTGTTAGTGGCTGTCATGTTGAGATATATATATATATATATATTTTGTTGAGGCCACATGGAATTACGTCCTGAATTGTGCGATCAGCTCATTGATTAGCTGTCGTCCTTCACATTAAAACGAGGGTATTGTACCTGGAGCTCGCACAGTTGACATGTACAGTCAGCACAGTCACAAATTGTGGGCTATAGGCAGATGTCAGCATAGGGGTCTGTGTGCCTACCCTAGCGGACATGGATGGATGTTGCACTTGCATTTGTCAGGTTGATGCAAGCAAAGCACCAAATGAATGATAATGACAGTGTTGCTCTGTCACTGCTGGATGAGCACATAAGCAATGGATGGCCATATTCATAACCAGGTGTTGTAATCCATTACCTCAGTAAGAATAGAACTTGAATTTGTTGACATGTATTTCCACGCTCATCTTTTTCGTAGTGACAGCACATGACAACAGGAACCAGGTGTTCTGTCTCAGTGGCTCAGATTGCAGAAGATGATTATGAATTCTTCCTTTAGAATTAAAAACACTTGCTGGTGAACCTGAGAATATCTTTCCATGAGAACTTACACTTTCTCAGCAGTATCTCTGACCTCCAGGCTTATACATGTGTTCCTATGTGTAACATACAATGAGTGTGACCCTGAGGGAGTGTGGTGCTCTCTCTCAGTCGGCTGATTGCACAAATTCCATTCAATAACTCAATATGTGCAGTGAGAGGTGCTTGTTTTTTAAATAGGATGGGTTATTTGTTAGCAATGGGCTGGCAGACAACTGTCTGAATTGAGTCAGTGTGTTTCCCCTGTATACTTCTACACAAGTTTATCACGTTGCCTGTGGTTTGACTCGCCCATGTTGGTGAAGCCCAGCTACTAGAATCACGCACAGACGAGATCTGTTTATCAGAAATGAGGAAGTTGTTCACTGGGACCTGTTAAGACTTGTCCTGCAACATGTGACAGCTTATTTTCTCGAGGCTTCACTCTATGGATGCCACAATAGTTGTTATTACCTCTTCTTATTTGTTTTCTGTGGCTTCTACAAACCAAATATTTGATCACTGCATATTTGGTCAGTGTCACTGGCTTTGTCGAGTTTTAAGTTTTACAGTCTCATGTGGGCCTTAAAACTCCAAATGTTCCAAATCCAAGTCTTTACTCTTTATTCATTTTTTCATGTCTGCAGTTTCTCTTTATTTTGGTGCAAAATTCAAGTAGCATCTAAAGACTGACATTTATTATCTCAGCCAAGGAGATTATAGTTTAATCAGTGTTTTGTTAGTTAGCAGGGTTATAAAAAAAACTACTGAACTGATTACCTACTGAATTGATGTTTTCATGAAATTCATAAATTTTGGTGCAGATCCAGGAAACGTTTTCGGTTCAACATGCGAGATATGGTAATTTTAGACACAGAAATATAATTATTGTATCGCTATTAAAAAAACTGGTATGCTTAATAGACTAATATTTATGTGTGTGTGCAAATAAAAATCCAGATTTGTTGAATTTAATTGTGATTTCATATGTTGGGCAGGTATACACTCTACTTAGTGTAATTCTAGTTGGATCTGTTTTTCTGTCTCTTTTGACTCTTTACTCAAAAGGTATTAGTAATTTAAAAATATAAACAGTATATATTACATTAAATACATTTGATTATTATTATTTGAAAAATAATTAATTGCTAAAAAATAACCTCAATTACACAGTGTTTTCAAAAACAGAATGGATGTAAACAAAAGCATCATCCAACACAGGCGCATGGATAATGTCCTTTTTCAAAACTGTTGCCATTGGTGATAAAAATGTGCGGGAAAAATTTGCAACGGTGATTCTCAAATGATCTTGCATATGAAAAGATGCCAGACCAAGATAACATGACTGCTGTCACAAAAACAAGCATTGTCCTCAGACCACAGTTTATCCCCCCCCCCCCCACACACACACACACTACTGTGAGGTTTTTCTTCTTTCAGCAGGGTGGAGCTGCAGCTTGCTGAAAATATTTCAGCACCAGTGCAAGGTTTATGAGTAAGCGATGGGGTTGGGCATCTACTTTTGACTGCAAGATACATATTTTGAATGTCTGAAATAATTGTGTTTTGACGTTCTAATCTCTGGGAAAATATGACAATTAGAATGTGTTTGATGATCTGGCACCACTAAGAAATCTACCTTTCTGATTACTTCATTACATAATGATCTGTAAAACGGAACCATCTTATAATTCAGTGTTTATTAAAGATTGTTTCAGCTGAAATGTAGACTTGTAAACTGGAGGAAAGCTGTTGCCATAAAGATAGAGACCAGGTGCTGCCAGACTCAGTGAATTACTTTATGGTCCTAGATAGCTGTGAAAGGACTTTTCACATTTTAAATAGGTTAATGATGATGATAATAATAATAAACATTCTAGCCATGGTTGCCATGACAATAACTTTCAGTCCTGTGTTTACTACTGTTTGTCAGGACCACAAAGAGAGCTCAGACGCTGTATGATGGACAGCCCACCAGTCCTCCAGGTGTGTGTCACATCCCCATGGCCGAGCCTTTCTGTAACAGAACCAGAGAGGTGAGTCCATGAACACCTGGACATATATGTCTTTTACATTTATTTATTGCAAACCTTTTGAGTTTCCCAAAATTTCTGCTGGGGTTGGTGGGGAAGTGGAAAACCGAAGAGAAATGGTACACATTTAAACAATCTTACAGACCTCATGTCTGAGATGTAGCTTTAGTTTTTTAACTGATAAAGATAATTCTGCCTCTCATGCAAGCAGAAACCCAAACAAGATTAATTTCATGTTTTGAAACTTTGAAACTCTTCAAGACCTCTCTTCTTAAATTAATAATTTTACAGTTTCTATCATTTTTATTGTTACCAGTTGACCTTCAGTTTCTTTCATTAACCAGTGTCTTTATATTGAAAGTGATATCTCCAAGGGATACAATTTTGGGTCCACAAAAACCCTCCTGTGTTGAGTGCAGTCCATGTTTCAGTCTGTTGCCGATAGCAATAGACTGAAACATGCAGATGAGCAGATACCACACAGCGCAGGTGCTATTAATTCAACACCACAGTTAACAAGATTAGATAAATACAGTAACTATTCAAACCATGTGAACAGTCACCTGCTCCTCTTTCCTTTGCTGAGTGGAGACACTTACTTGTGGCTTCTGCCCTGGTGCAGGTTTTGGTGGAGGTGGCGCGGAGTCTGGGTGTTAAGTGTCACGTGCGAGGGACTATGCTGACTATCGAGGGGTCCCGCTTTTCCTCGAGAGCGGAGAGCCTGATGTTCCGACAGTGGGGCGCTGACGTCATCAACATGACCACTGTGCCCGAGGTGGCCCTCGCCAAGGAGGCCGGTATGTGCTATGCCAGCATCGCCATGGCAACAGACTACGACTGTTGGAAGGAACATGAGGAGGCGGTGAGTGACAGGCTGATCCTAACAGCTGAATTTCTTTATTTCTGCTGCCATTGTCCTTGTGTGAGTCAGTGCTGGTCATTGGTGACATCATGTCCTCCCCAATCATTTCTTTGTTTTATTCTTTCATAAATTCCTCCACAGCTTCTCTCCTTCTATTTTACTCATTTCAACTGGATCGCACTTTTAGTCGTCTTTTATTTTTAACCTTATGCTAATCGTCACTGGAGAACCTTTGTGTAAAAGCATTCAGCGAGGCACCAGGAAGCTAAAAATGTTAAATAATCTTTGCTAAAAACATAAGCTAAAAATGTAAGCTAAAATAGCA